AAGTGACGCTTTTTTATACAGACGTACTTTTACTTTTCTGCTTTGTTGGCTGAGAACGAATGTTCTTGATGTGTTAGTTCTATAAATTGCTGTCATTATCATGAATGTAACTTATGAAATATACCTAGAAAAGAAGTATCTAACCTATTCTAAGTTGTGTAGTCCATAGTAGAAAGTCCATAATTAATAATTAAGATCTTTTTTAATGACGCTCATTACAATGATACGTAAAAACAAAGTGCCACTTTGATTTAAATCTACTTTATTTCACATTCCAGCGAGAAATGTCTCGTCATTTCTCGTCATTTCTCGCAGGGATAGGGGATAGCATATACAAGGCATATGTAAACATTATTCTAGGTTTAACAACATATGCGCGAAATGTCCTGAAGATGATTTTATGCAGCGGTATTTTTTAAAACAGTAAAGTAATTTTTTTGAAAAAGTTATAAATTACATAAAATTATAAATTGCATTAGAAAATATGCAATAAAATTTCTTTTTGTACTTATAACATTTTTTTGTTGTAACGTTTTCTACGAATACTTGAATTTTTCTCCTATAATTTTCTATAATTTTGTGCATATGTTGTTAAACCTAGAATAACATAATGTATACATTAAACTCCACATTATCATCAAATTAATTCTAATTTTTAGATAATGATGTCAACTATGATACTCTAAAATACATGACTATTAATCAGTGTCCAGAACTAGCTGAAGTTATACCATCGGTTGGTGCAAGAATTGCACTACAAAATTATTTCCGCAGTAATGATGATTCATGCAAAGAAATCAATGCCCTTTCTGACAATAACCTTCCTTTGGCTTCTACTTCTACGCCTTTTGTGACTCCATCTTTGACACTTGCTCTTACGCCAGATATTTGACGAATCTCTTGATAATACAACATCAAATAATGATATAAAAGCATCTATGGAAAATGCTACACAATCATCTTTTGTAGAAGAGTCCTCTGTTAATGATACACAGAATATTGTAATATTAGACACTTATGGTCATGATAACGAGATAGTAGAAGAGTCACAGAGGATTGATGAAACAGTGGACATGATGGTATGTAAAATTCTCCAGAACTGTTTAAAGTATGTGTGTAATATTACAAATAAGAAAAAATATAATTCATTTTTCTTATGTTTTGTTACATTTGCATAAGTATTGCTATATTTCTTGTCATATTGTCACATAATTTGTTACATTTCAATATAAAATATCTTTTAAAAGAGTGCAACGGTGAATCGTAATTTAAAAATGTTTTTATTTTTTACTTTTTATTCTACTTTTTGGAAAGTCTATCACAATGCTAAATATATTTTTTATTTAAAGTGCACAAAAAGCACACTTCTTATAAGGTGCTTTGTAAAATATTTTTGATAAATATTTCTTTTAATCCATAATTTTTTATAATTAAATGCAATAACTTATCTTCATATTTTGCATTTAAAAATTCTTCTTTTTACAGTTAGAAAACTTTGATTTAAAGGCATTGCTTAAAAAAACAGTAACCGGACAAGCGATTATAGCTTCATACGATGCAAGAAGTGGATTATCGCTGAGATGCCAACAGTATTTGGCAAACATTAGTATCTGCCATTTTTTTTATAATAACATTAAGTAAGCATTCTTTGCTTATTAACTACAAATTTTACGTGTTTGTTTACAAAATAATATAGAACTTTTTCCTTCAGTTTAATACATTCTACTAGCCCAGTAAAATGACAAAATTTGGAGGAAATAATACTGACTTGGCTGAAACTTTGTAAACAGGCTTGTTTTAGGGTACTATTTAACATATTAAAAGTCCCCACGTGTAGACGCTACGTTGCGGGCAGGGGAGGGTCCAAAAAGTCCAAAAAATTAGTTTTTTGCAAATAACTCGGAAAATATCAACTTTACGGAAATTTATGTAGATATTAAAATTGTAGCTTACAAAATTCCGCACAATTTCGTTTTTTATTCAAGTCTGTACGACCAAATGAGCAGAGATAGAATTTTTTTAAACATCGGTAGTTTTGCAATGCAACGAAAACACATACGCGCGTCGCACATTTTTCGCTAATATCTCAAAAATGGACTCTTGAATCGAAAAATGTTTTAAATAAAAGTAGTAGAGAATCTAATTACGAACAATTTCGTTTTTTATTCATTTTTGTACAGTGAAAAATCGAGGAAATATGAATATTTAAATAATTTATAACCGCCATAGAAGAGATACAATGGAAATTAGTTGTTAGTCTTCTTCTCCTTTTTCTTCATTTGCACTATTTGAATAGTTTTCATCCGATTCGGAATCGCTCATTTCGTCAGATACGAACATATTTAGGCAGTCGTTCTGTTTGCAATTAGCACAGAGGTCAGAACATCTTAACCCTGCCTTTTTGCAGCCACATGACTCGGTGCAATTTGATTTGCATTTACATGCTATTAATTTAAGGAAAAAAAATAAAAATAAAATTAAAAAATTAATAAATTAATAAAAAAAAATTAAAAATAAATAATAAATAATAAATAAATAAATAATAATAATAATAAATAAATAATAATAATAATAATATTAATAATAATAATAATAAATAATAAATTAATTTTTTTACATAAAAAATATCTGTCACTTTAAATTCGTTTTTTCTTATTCAGAAATTCTTTTTCTAGCATTCTTTAAGTCTTTAAAGTCCTTCTGTACCATTTAAAAATTACCAAATTTGCGGCGACGAAATTAAGTATTCTTATTTAATTAATAATTATCTCATTTTTTCTCATTCGCACTACTTTTAGCTTTAATTTGCGTGTTTGATCATTAAGCTTCGCCAATTTGTTCGTGAGTTATGATTTTTTAAATAAAACGAGTTGTAACGTGTTTGCCACGCCGCGTGCCGCATACCGACTTCGGACTCTTCTCAATCTTTAATACCTATGTACAGTACTATCGGTCCTAAAAATATTGGCCTAGTACCAAACAATTCAGAAAGACCCCAAGAATAACTTCTGACACTTTAATAGGTACAGAAAAATGTTCAGGACACGTTTTTTCATCATTTCAGGCGACTCATAGTGATGATCTGCTACATACGTAAACTTACCTGTCTTTTGAAACGCCAGTTTCCCATCACAATGCATTCAAAATTACATGTCATAAACTCTATTTTATAGGAAATTTTGTCAGCTTTAATTTCGGTCTCTTGAAGTTTTTTCGTAAAGTTAATAGAAACGGAGATATTTACAAAAAAAGGAATGATAATGCAATTTTTCCACAATTTATCAAAAATACAGCAATATTCATGAACTTTTTTTTTAAATAAAACATACTTTGCGAAGGACTTATACTACTCCAGCACGTTCATATATATATGAAGTAATGAAAACAAGGTAAAATAAATTTTTGAAAAATTATTATCCATATATTTTTGGACTAAAATGTTAATTTAACAAAAATTGATTTTTTTTTCTTCAATATTTAAACGCCTGTAATTTATCAACGTTTCAATGAAAAAAGGTCTACGACGTCTCATTTTAAAGATAGTTAAAATATCTTCAAGAAAAATATATAACATTACTGCCTCCAACCAATTAGAAAAAGTTATTTTCCAAAATGTACTAAAAAATGACATTTTTTCATGTTTTTTGCTCTTAACTTCAAGTTATCTTTACCAAAATGGATTCATGCATACATCAACATGTTCAAAATTTTATTCTCTTTAACTTTCATTATACATACTATATGTGTACGACCTATACTTTCAGAGTTAATACTGATTTTTGCATGCAAAACATCCACTATCAACATAAAATAAAATTGTCTTTTAATTAATAACTCGGCGAATTTGGACCGTACAAAAATGAATAAAAAACGAAATTGTTCGTAATTAGATTCTCTACTACTTTTATTTAAAACATTTTTCGATTCAAGAGTCCATTTTTGAGATATTAGCGAAAAATGTGCGACGCGCGTATGTGTTTTCGTTGCATTGCAAAACTACCGATGTTTAAAAAAATTCTATCTCTGCTCATTTGGTCGTACAGACTTGAATAAAAAACGAAATTGTGCGGAATTTTGTAAGCTACAATTTTAATATCTACATAAATTTCCGTAAAGTTGATATTTTCCGAGTTATTTGCAAAAAACTAATTTTTTGGACCTTTTGGACCCTCCCCTGCCCGCAACGTAGCGTCTACACGTGGGGACTTTTAATATGTTGAATAGTATCCTAAAACAAGCCTGTTTACAAAGTTTCAGCCCAGTCAGTATTATTTCCTCCAAATCGACAAATTTCGAGTCATTTTACTGGGCTATACTTGAACTCGAGCGGTCGGATATCTAAATCAACACTTTGTATATAAATATATTAGCTGAAAATAATAATGTTAGTTTTCTTATGCAACTGTACTTACTCTTTCAGCGTTCAATTAAATAACGAAAAATTAAACAAGATTGCGGATCACATTATTACTCTCTTCCCTGCTGAATGTAAAGAAGTATATTATTGTCCACCCATAAAAAAGAAACAATCGAAAGATCAAAAATCCGGTATTGCTAAGGGAAAATTAGTTGATAAAAATAGAAACATGTTAGCGTTTTTAAGAAAATATAAATTGATTCCATTGAGCAAATCTGTCTCAGTAAATAGTTCCACAGATGAAGATAGTTTTAACAAAGGTTGGTGTAAATAACATATTTTTACAATTTATTTTATACACGGAGAAAAAAATGTTCTGGATTTTAGTAAATATTAGTTTGCATACAACTGACTCTATTTACTAAAATGAAGAAAATTTTCCTTTTTATTAGTATATGTGTAATCACTAGGAAAAAAATATACTAATAAAAAGAAAATTTTTCTTTATTTTAATAAAGAAAAATAAATGGAGTCACAGTTGTATGCAAATTAATATTTACTAAAATTTAGAACATTTTTTTCTCAGTGTACTTAATTACTATTTTTTTTGTAGAAAATACTAATAGTCACGAGGAGGCAGAGCGGAGTCACAATTGGCTTAAGAATAATTTCGAACCTTGGGAAGAAGTTTTGCTTCATTGAGAAAAATCATTTTTATATAGAAACAAATTGATACATGATCGTATAACTTACCCACATCTATGCTCAATTTTTGACGATTGGAACATATTAACATCTTCAATGGGCTATGTGTTGGTAAATAACTTGCAGTCTGGCGTATTATTTACTATAATTTATTTAACAAATTTTTACTATTGAGCTGTTGCCTTGTAATGCCGCATAACATTACTTGTAAAATAAAAATCTTTCGTTTCATTACAGATTGAAAAGGATTACTTACGGTTATACAAAGAAAAATATAAAAACGTTCAAGAAAAGTTCGATTCTTTATTTGATGATGTGTTGCGTTTGAGAGGCAAGGAATTGGATTGTTCCAACAAACTATTGCTGGATATGTTAAGTGGCAATATTCCAAATGGTAATATATGAAGAATGGAATAATTTGTGTAATGACTAATTTGTGTAATTGTTAACAAATAATTTTTTTGTTTTAGATTCGAAGATTTTAATTAAAATTTATTTATTATTTTCACTTTTACCAAATAAATCCTCGAAAGTGAAAGTTGGCAAGAATTTCTTTAAACCAACCCAAGTTGAATCACAAGAAAGTCTAGTACTTCATATTAAGGTATATTTTAAAATATAAATAAATTGAAATTTTTTTTCCTTTCTTTTTCTCTCTCTTAGAAATAATATCTTACAATTAGTATTGCATTATTTTAGATTCCTGGTGATGTGGAAGAGGAGATAGAAAATAAAAGAAAAAAGCTTCAAAAATTTGGATTAACCTTGCAGCCTTTTATTCTCGTGGTAGGACCTTCTTTAACAGAAATTCAAGCAATTTTTGTAAGAATTGATAACGTCTCGTATAAGCTGAAAACACTGTTTAAAGCTTTAGAAATATGTTTTATGAGTTTTATGGTCCTGGACTTGAAGTATCCATCTGCATCAGAACACATTTGGTATTTATTGCAAAGAACTGTTTTTGATATAAATTTACAAAGAGACAACAAAATTCCCATGATTTGTGACGTAATTAAAAAAATTTCTAAATAGCTTTTGAGTGTACAATTCCTAATACATTATATTGAATTTTTGTTTTGATATTCTCAATGTTTATAAGTGTCTGTATGTATCTTTAGATAATATTTTTCTTGGTGAACTTTTATATAGCGGGGATCGTGAAACGTTTGGCAATAAAGTCTCTTTCAAACCAATTATTGACAAATTGATTAATTTAGAAAACTGTAGTGTCACTATATGCGTGGATAATAAAGAATATCAAATTTTCTTTTCCTTGCTTGCACTATTAGGAGATAATTTAGGATTAAACGATTTACTTGGTTATAATAAATCATTTTCTGCTAATTTCTGTTGTCGTGCATGTCGAGCTTCAAAATTAGAAATGAAATCTCAGTCTGAAGAAGATATAGAATTATTAAGAACAATATCGAATTACGAAGAAGATTGTAAAGACTTTAGCCATGGTGTCAAAGAAAAATGTATTTTCAATGAATTGTCTAATTTTAACTGTATAACAAATGCCGGATTTGATGTAATGCATGATTTGTATGAAGGAGTATGCAGGTATGACATGGCCAAAATTATAAATTCTTTAATAACAGAAAAATATTTTTCTCTTAAAGTGTTAAATAGTAGAATTAGATATTTTAATCACAGATGCAATACAGATGTTGGGAATTCGATTCCACCGATTAATGAGCATCATCTTAAGCAGAGCTTTTTAGTGATGTCTTCTTCTGAAATGTCAGCTCTTGTAACATATTTCGGTATTTTAGTTGGTGATAAAGTTTCAGAAGATGATTCGTACTGGCACTTGTATCTACTTCTAATACAAATTATCCATATCGCAACAGCTTTTGAAAATAATGTGCAGGAACTGCATCTCTTACAAAGACTAATTACTAATCATCACAAATTATATATGGAATTATTCGATGAGCGGCTAAAACCTAAATTTCATAATTTAATACACTATGCAAGAAAAATTAAAAATCTGGGTCCATTGCGCTGTTTACCTTCTATTAGATTCGAAGCTTTTCATAAACTGTCCAAAATTAATGCACGTTTAGTAAGCTCACGCATAAATATTGTATTTACCTTGAGCCTTAACTTGCAACTAAAGTTTGCATATCGCATTTTAAGTAAAAGAGGTTTTAGTCCAAAAATATACTATGGCAGATATATTTGTAAGATTTCAAGTTTGCCTGAATATCATTTTTTAAAACATTCCATAAAATGTGATAATTGCTGTATAATTTCTTGGCTTAAAGTTAATGGTTTTACATACAAATCAAAATTTGCATTTTGCTTGGGTGCAAACGAGTATAGTGAACCGCAGTTTGGAATAATTAAACATGTTGCTACTGATAACTTTAAACAGTTTTGTTATTTATGATTCTTGTGAAAATATTGGTTTAGATTCCTATAAATATGCATATGAAATATCACTCGGATCAACAACAAATGTTGGAATCGTACGACTTGATTTAGATAATCTTTTTGTACCTCGTAGTATCAGTTACGCTGCTGATGGTAGCAAGTTAATTACACAGTTTGGGTAAATCTCATTTTTGTTAAGTTAAAAAAGTTGTCTTCATATGATATGTTTAAAACGATTTTAAAAACTTAAGTTATGTATATTACTCTGTAAAATAAACATATAGAATAAATAAACTTTTACATGTATAATTGTTATTTTTATGCTATGTTCCATACTATATTTGCATTAAATTTTTCAGAAAAATGGACACATGTACACAGTTTTTTTACATCTTTATTGAATTTATTCAACTTAAAGTTCGAAGGACAACTTTTCCCTTTTTACCAGAAAAATAAAAATATTTCTTCCAATAAAGAAATAATGCGATAATTAATTTTATTTAATGTTTTTATAACTTGTTTAATAGATCAAAAATTCTTACTCTAACTTTATAATACAAGTATATTTCTTCTAACTCGACGAAACGAACTGTTTGTACTAAATAACTAACAAGTCATAAATCGAATAAATTCAATACAAACGTAAAAATATTTGTACATATAGGTCAGCATTTTTCACATCAGAAATCCATATTATTCTGTGAATGTATAGTATAATAAAATGTATTCACGTAAATATTTATTTCAATATATAATATAACGTTATCAATTGAAATAAAATTAAATTGTGAGAAGAAATTATAGTTATTTAGCTAGATTCAATTTATTTGTCAAAAATATATCAATTTATAAAAATTTTCAAAATTTGATATTTGCGATTAAATAACTTATGCCAAAAAAATAAACAATTATTTGTCACAAATAATACTTATTTCAAAAATGAAATATATGGTTTATTTACTAGAAATAAAATTTTATTTCGCCGTATTTAAATAAGAGATTTATTTCTATGAAATAAGGCTTATATCTCACAAATAAATTTTTAAGTATTTTTTTCTCAGTGTGTGTATAACTCGCTTTTTAATTATGACACTTAAAATTGCTTGTACGCCGGGACGAACGCGGGCGCGAAGCGTGGAGCATGTGAATTTAATAGAAAATCCGCGCGACACATTTCAATAAATTAACGAGACGTCGCACATGCGCCGACGGAAATGATTGCATTCGCGGATAGCATCCCAAGGTTTTTAAGCACATCGAGCGTTGGAATTGGAGCTCAGGTGCATACCGTTCATTCAGGAAAATCCCTGCCGGAGGAGACGAGGCAAGTTTATTGCTCCTGTCGCGGAAAGAAGAGGAAAAGAGTGTAATCGCGCGAATACTGTCGATTCGTTTGGACTCTCATATCTGAAATTGCTGTCGCCTCGAATCTATTATATCCGAGCTGCTGGTGAGGCCCGAGCGCCGGATCTCTCCCTGTAATAGAAATCCGTGGCCGAGTTCGTTAATTCGCGCGGGCATACACGAGCGTGCGAGAAGGGAAAGCGGGAGAAGCCGAACAGAGAGAAAGGGAAGAGAGAAAGAATCGAGCGACCTAGTAATAGAGAAAGGGAGAAAGAGCGAGCAGAGAGCAGGAGGATGAAACTCGAAGGGATGAAAAACGGAGTAAGAGATCGGCGGGGATGAAGCTTGGAGCGCGACTACTCGAGAGAAGAGAGAAAAACCGGGGTACCTACGATTCCATTGAGCGGGGGCACATCTGCCGCGTTGCATTGTGCTGCATGCTGCACTCATCCGCGTCATCCGATCTGCTCGACGCAACCTCGAACCCCTTGAGAAGAAAAGAGCGAGCGAAATAACGAAGTAGATCACGAGAGGAAACGAGAGAGGATGTATATAATATATATATATACATATAAAGAGAGAGAGAGAGAGAGAGGGGGGAGAGAGAGAGGAGTTGTCGTCCCCCTTTGCGGCCTCGTGCCAGAGTTATATCGTCATATCGTCCTACCTGCCGAACGATAAATCCGCCCGATCCCTTTCGGCGAAGTACCCACTCAGATTTATGAGGGAATTAATAGTAGATCCGACGAAAAAATATCGGCGATATATCGGTTACGCGATTATCTACCATGAGTGAAGCCAAAAAGAAAGGCACGCTGCCTTTCGAGAGTTTAATCAAATCTCGAGTCTGACACAGTAAGTAGCTTTCTTGAAAATATTTAACAAATTTTGATTATTTAATCTAAATTAAATATTCCTAGAATGAGGGAAAAATGGATTTTTCTCCATTTAATATTCCGCAATATATAGATTCGAGCATGTGTCGTCGAATAATTTGACGTGCGTCGCATAAAGTTGCACGTGATACTGTTCGTTAATCCGTTTGCGTTCTATTTATTCTCACCGAATTCAGATCGAAGTTGTCGACGCGAATTACTCACGCTGAAATTTAATTTTACGTTTTAATTCGATGAAAAAAAAGTCGTTCATCGCCGGCGCAGATAAAAAATTGTTAACTGTTTAAACGCTCGCCGCCCACAGTAAAGTGGTGTGATATATTCCTTTTTCGTTGCGCAAGCAACGTTGGAAAATTGGACGGAGCAGGATGACGGAAAACGGCGCGGTATAAAAGAGAGCGCGCGCCCCGCCCTTATAATCCAGAGTACATTTTTCACGCTGGCACGTTATATTACATATTTATGTCACGCTCGATGTCCGACTCCCTTCGCGTTACGTTGGATATGCAACAACTGTGCTCTTAGGACGCGGCGCCCATTAATGATTCAGCGAGCCGAACAAAATACGGTGCTTGAATTTGTTCATGCCTTCGTAGAAGAGAGCCGAGAATAAGCAAAAAAGTCCACGACGGAACATAGGTTCCGAAAATTTCGACTCCCGTTTCCATGCGCATATATATGATATAGAATATATTCACAAAAAGCATTAAAACAAAAAATTCACCATTTTTAATGCCTATGTGGTTATTAATGTCTACATTGAAAATATTCCTGTAAAGTAGGATCCGCTGTGTTGCTAAAGTTTAAATAAAATTTATTGAACGTTGTCACTTTTGTTTTTCGTCCTGTAATTAGAACGTGTCAATTTTAATGCAATTAATTAATAATTTATTATTATTATTACGTTACGTTATTCCAATCATATTTATGTCCATACATTGGGATAATATAATTTTAAGATTTTCACGTTTCTCGAACTTATAGCCGGTATGATTTAATCAGCGAAATGCATTGGCTTTGAAATTTGATTAAATGCACTACTGCATTGCGGAGTGCTTTTTCTCTCGCATCGCCATCCAGTTTACCTTTTGTCATCCTACGTTTCGTGTAACTATACCCCGCAACAACACCACGTACAGTCTCCCTTGTATCACGATATATGAATTCTCTTCCTCATTCCCACCGGGAATTCTGACTGACGGGGATGAGGATTGGGGGGCTTACACGCGATTACAAACCCTCCAACGAAGCCCTCTGGCCAGTTGGCCTACTTTCATATAACTTTCGACGTGCTGTTGGACCGTTTAAATCTAGCTATCCGCGCGAGACCGGGATATAATATCGCCGGCTCCATAAATCGAAACGTTAAGTAGGAATATAGGTCCAAGTCGCACGTAGCACATTCTAAAAAAAATGCAGATATTAAAAATTAAAAAATTCTATATATAACTCAAATAACAAATTATTACAATTATACAAATAATAAGTTTTTAGTAAAATCACGATTATATTTAAATTTAGTAGATACATATTACATACAATAAACATAATTTCCAATGTTTTATGGGAGCAAATATTCTTGTGGCTTTATGTCTTTTCACTCTCGACGACATATATGCTTTTCTCCTTTTTTTTTATTTCATTACGCTCATCATCTACGCGGCAACAACGTAGGTACATATGTGTATAATTTAGAGATATCGGTAATATTATAATATTATGATATCTACGCAGAGATTGGGATAAATATTTTGATCGGACAATAAGGGCGATAACGATTGTCCCGGATTGCATTGTCTGGCCCGAGATAATTTATCACATCGACGAATTTATGGCTACTGCTATGGCTAGTGCGATGAGGGGGTTAATTGCATATCCTAGTGTATGTTGAGTAGTTGATTCTATTATTCGAATAACGGCTGCTTCATTTACATGGATAATTAGGTAATGCGATATTCGAAGCCCCCTACATGTTACTGATACACCTGTATTTGCAACCGTGTATGATATGGATAAATATCGCCGTTCGATTAATAAAATCATCGTTATGGATTATTGCTGGCTTTCTTTGAGTCCGCTGCAAATCAGTTTTGCGCGATTAGATTATATTCTATGTGACGTTGAATTATTCGTTCCTTTAATTTATCGGATCGATACTCTATCGTATCCGTACTGTATTTTCGTACTGGCGAGCGAGGGAGTTAATAATAACACAGATGGGGCGAACCCTGTCTAAGAATAAATACAATTTTTCCAGGAAATTGATATAAAAATATCTGATATATGAGAATATAATCGATAAAAGAATTACTTATTATATTTATCGTATAACGAAAGAGTGTCGTGAGTAATTAATTTGGTCATGCATAGGCGTCACGTGGGAGCGGCGATATTCAATTCTCTTAACTGTCATCGGACATTCGGAGAAAAGCGTACGCGATTATGACAGTCATCGAGTTTCTCGGTCACGACGAAACGCGTGAAGCCGCCCCCTCTCCCGTCCCTCCTGTGGCGCATACGTACGCCACCGTGAAATCCTATTGAAAGGGTGTGCGCGATCACGATCGAGGGTCGTTGTATTCAAACACTCTGATCGCACGCTTTTCACGTGTCTCGAATTTACATATAGGGTTACGACTCCATTCGCGGCCTAAATGAAATAATCTCGTTATGTAAATGGACGCCTGCAGGCGCGAGATGCAACGTGACGCCACGGCGCGGGTGCGGCGCGGCGCCGTGTTCTCGCAGCGATGCGATGCTGCGAATCGGTCGAATCTCTCTTTTCCCCCGTCATCTATTCCCTCGAACTTAAAAGCGCGCCGATAACTCAATGCAAAAGTCATCGCGAATTTTGCAACCCACATATCACAG